CAACACGTCACCGTCAGATAATGAGCTATCACTATCAACGTCCGACTCTAAAGAAGATATTATTATATCATATCACCTGTAATTTATAAGAAAAGTATAAGGTTGAGTATAATTCCTTAATATTATATGATAATGGTGATTGAAATTAATAATATATTAATCTCCTAAGAACTACACGATTTTTGTAAAGAATCATTTGAGTATGCTTATGACTTTGTATATATAGATAATCAATTGAAATCATTTACACCCACTTCCATATTAAGTATAAACGTGCAGGGCATACACACACATGCCCTAAAGTTTTTATATATGAATGACATGTCCATTTTAAGGGGTACAATCCACTTGCCCACGCACTCCTAATTTTCCTAATCTGCCCACGCCCCTCCCTTCCTTCTGCTCGGTTACTTCTGCTATGGAAAAATAACCAACCGTCTAATGGTTGTCAACTCATAAATACAAGTTTATGTGAATTCATGGTTGCTGCTAATCTTTTTTGTTTTTATTCCAATTTCTACTAAAATTGTGTTTGTGCTGCTGTTTATTCACAACGTTTTGTTTTGTTTCTGTTTTTTATTTTACCGGTTATTAGCTTTATATGTAGGTTGGGTCTCTAAAAATAATTAGTCGTGCAAATAACATTAACAAAATGTATGATATGTATGTAAAAGTAGTTAGTAAATAAAAAATTAATTGATGTCCTTAAAAGTCGTTTAACACGTTATCAGCTGATTGCAAACAACCATTCAATCAAACAATATTTTACAAATTGTTAATACTATCAGCTGATCAAAAGAGCTAACAGAATCCGCTATTATCGATCAGCCAACAAATATTTGCCAAACACCCCCACATATTTTTTATACTTTCAAGCTTATCAACTCATTTTGTATGCTCCAAACCGTCTCTAAACCTTGCCGGTATTTTGATCAATTCCCCAAATTTGTGTTCTGTAAACATCAAAAAAATTGAATCATATATTGTTCACAAATAAATCCTACGTAGGATCCAAAAGACAAAGTAGGGGTGGTCATTTCGGTTTTATTCGGTTTCGGTTCGTTTTCGGTTTGATAGAAAATGTACCAAATACAAACCGATTAATTTTCGGTTTGGTTTCGGTTTGGAGTTCAGTTTACCAAAGTATCACTACAAAAAAATTCGCCTGTAGTCACGGACCGTAGTCACAGATTTGGTCCGTGACTAGTTAGTCACGGTTCTAATCACGGTGTAGTCACGGAATCGTTAAAAAAAAAGTAGTCACGGATTTGTCCGTGACTACGTCCGTGACTAGAGGTAGTGACGGACCTAGTCCGTGACTAAAGTGTTCCGGCCAACCCATTTTCGCCTCCGGCGGGATTTTTTTTAAATTTGAAATTAGTCACGTGACTAAATCCGTGACAAGTGCAAAATTGATTTTTTCAACGCTCCAAATTTAAAGTGCACCGACAATTCGTACAAAAACAAGTAGTCACGGACACATCCGTGACTACGTCCGTGACTACAAAATTTATATATGCAGCCTCGGCTTCCTTCAACAAAATCACACCTTCTACGTACTCCAGATAGAATTCCAAATAGAATTGAAGGATGTAATCTACCCATCTCATATCATTTTTCCTGTTTTTGCAGATAATGTATGTAATTTGAATTACGTATTTTTTGTAAATTAGTTAAATATGTAAATTTGTTAATAAATACATATGTAAGTATATATATTATTAAATATAATATTGGCAATACATATGTTATTAATTTTAAAATATAGGATTAAAATTAGTTAAATTAGTTAAATACGTAATATAGTATGTAAGTATATATGATTAAATATAATTTAAATGCATATTATTAATATTAGTTAATAAATGTAAGTATTATTTAATTCAAATGACTTTATATATATATATATATATGTATATGATTAAATATAAGTATATGATTTCTTTATATTGGCAATTATTGTTAATTAAGGCGGCCTAATTTAGGATTAATAATGATTTAAATTAGGGTTAGTTAATTTAATTTAAATGTGTTTATTATATATATATGCTCAAATTATTGAATTTGCTCATATTATTTAATTTAGTACGTAAATTGTTAAATGTGCATTATTAATAAGATTAAGATGTTGATAATTTTAGTATTGTGGATTAAATTAATGTCATTAACGTATTGTGCATGTTTATAGTTTAATAATTATAATTATTAGACGTTAGTTAATTTTAATGGGATTTTAGTGAATTTTAGTGAATTTTAGTGAAATTTTAGGCAATTAGTTAATTTTAAGGGAATTAGTTAATTTTAAGGGAACTTTTGGGAATTAGTTAATTTTAAGTGAATTTTAGTGAATTTTAGTGAAATTTAAGGAAAGTAGTTAATTTTAAGGGAATTTTAGGGAAATAGTTAATTTTAAGTGAATTTTAGTGAAATTTAAGGAAACTAGTTAATTTTAAGGGAGTTAGTTAATTTTAGGGAATTAGTTAATTTTAAGGGAATTTTAGGGAATTAGTTAATTTTAAGGAAATTTTAGTGAAATTTAGTGAAATTTAAGGGAATTAGTTAATTTTAGGGAATTAGTTAATTTTAAGGGAATTTTAGTGAATTTTAGTGAAATTTAAGGAAACTAGTTAATTTTAAGGGGATTAGTTAATTTTAAGGGAATTATTTAATTTTAAGGGAATTTTAGGGAATTAGTTAATTTTAAGGGAATTTTAGTGAATTTTAGTGAAATTTAAGGAAACTAGTTAATTTTAAGGGAATTAGTTAATTTTAAGGGAATTATTTAATTTTAAGGGAATTTTAGGGAATTAGTTAATTTTAAGGGAATTTTAGTGAATTTTAGTGAAATTTAAGGAAACTAGTTAATTTTAAGGGAATTAGTTAATTTTAAGGGAATTATTTAATTTTAAGGGAATTTTAGGGAATTAGTTAATTTTAAGGGAATTTCAGTGAAATTTAGTGAAATTTACGGGAATTAGTTAATTTTAAGGGAATTTTAGGGAATTAGTTGATTTTAATATATTACTAATACTCCACATATATAATATGTTGGTAATGTTTATAATTTAGAGTTTTTAACCTGTATAATTTTTTTATTATAATATTCAGGCATAATGTATAGACAAAATAGAATTTGGATGTACGATAAACATGCGGTATTGTACGGAATGCAATCAAATTTTCTTGAAGGAGTTGAGGAGTTTATTAAATTTGCACTTGAACATCCGGCTTATATGAGTGGTGATAAAATCAGATGTCCATGTTCAAAGTGTAAAAATCTCAAATTTAAACACCCAGAAGAAGTTGGGTGGGATTTGTACGCGGACGGTTTCCTTCCCAATTATTACAATTGGACTTCTCATGGCGAACCTCTGGATCCATCTGTTTTACCACAAACTGTAGGTTCGTCTCGTAACGTCCCTGCAGAGATGAGTGCGTGGGGAGATCCTGCTGAAATGAGATGGGAGCAACGTATGGTATATGACGCATACGGTGCATCGATGTCTCAGTTCAACCCCCCACAACCATCTAACGATCCTCCTGAAGCTTCGACCTCGTATCAACCACATGAGGATGAAAATCCGATATTTTATGAACCTTATGTGGATGAAGGTTTAGCTGAAAGGTTTCAAGATGTTTTAAAAGCAGCTGATCAACCCTTGTATGCTGATTGTGAGGGATACTCTTAGCTATCCGCCGTTACAGAGTTTATGAACATAAAAGCTGAATACAGTCTCCCTGAAACTTGTATGACTAGAGTCTTGCAGTCAGTAAGCGGGATGCTACCACGTGACCATAACCTTCCGGATTCATATTATCACATGAAGCAATTAATGTCTAAGTTGGGGCTACCTTATATAGAAATTGATGTGTGCCCGAAAGGATGTATGTTGTTCTGGAAGGATGATGAGACACTTGAATTCTGCAAGTTTTGTGGTGGAAACAGATACAAACCAGTTCCTCAAAGTAGAAAGAAACCACGAAATAAGTCGGCATTGTCTAAACTGTATTACCTCCCAATAGCTCCACGACTTAAGAGGATGTACGCTTCGACTGTTATAAAAAACTGTTTTATAAAAGACTGTTTTTATAAAAGACTGTTTTATAAAAGACTGTTTTATAAAAGACTGTTTTATAAAAGACTGTTTTATAAAAGACTGTTTTATAAAAAACTGTTTTTTAAAAAACTGTTTTTTAAACACTGTTTTTTAAACACTGTTTTTTCAAAACACTGTTTTTTCAAAAACTTCCTTTAAAAAACTTCCATTAAAAAACTGCCTTTAAAAAACTGCCTTTAACAAACTGCCTTTAAAAAACTGCCTTTATTTAAATCAAAATTTGATCTTCTATTATATTTACACAATTATTTGAAAATGTAAATTAATACTCCTCATTAATCAATTATTTTAGATGAGCAATGAACAATCCACATCCCGTGCTCGCCCGAACTATGCGCCCTTAACCGGAACCGAGCGCAACAATGAAGATTCCGAATGGGTGACACCTCACATGGTTGCTAAGTAAGTAACTATGAATTTTATCTAATTTCAAATAATTAAATAATTTTTTTAATGAACTATAAAAAAATATTAATTTTTTGAAGCGATCAAGATGTGCTCAACCAAATCAAAATCATAATTGGTGGACGCTTTCTTGGCAACTGGGCGACGTACACGGATGTTGATCCTAAGGTCCGTGAACTTTGGTGGAACTTGTTCAAGGTAAAAAAATCAATTTTTCGTCATTGATGTAACATAAAATTTGACAAATGATAAGTTAATTTATTTTTTTAATAAAGGCCCGGTTTCGCTGGACTGAAGAACAAGGCCCCGCTATTCTAAGGGCGTACAATGCCAGAGTTTCAAACTGGCTTCGCCCCACTTTTAGGCGTGCCCGAGCCAGTGGGGTAAGACCTCAATGGTGTTCGGATGAGGTATGGGAAAACCTCGTCCGCCACTGGTCTTCGGATCCGACTTTCTTGGCCAGAAGCGAAGTCGGGAAGAAAAATCGGATGTCCGAGAAGGCAATGACGACACAATGGCACGGAGGCCGCAAACCCCAGAGTAAACATAAAGAAGCTCTTGTAAGTCCTATTCAAATAAACCTACACCATTTTAACCTTTTATTTTTTGAAATTTATTTAAACCTTTTTCTAACCTTGTAGGCGGGGCCTCAAAAGAAGAGGGTCCCTATCCTCAGTGTAATCAAACATTGTTGGACGAAGAGCGGTGTTGAGTCGCCAGCCAATCTACCACCCCGCCTTGCTGAAATCGAAGTATGTAACATCAATACTATTATTTCAAAATCAATACTATTATTTCAAATTGAAGTAAATATCATTGAATAATTTTTTTAAATGTTTGTAGACAAAGTATAACGCAAATGTTGAAAAGAAGCGGGCGGAACTTGGCTTGACTCAAGAAGATGACATCGGTTCTGATGTGGAAGATGATGCCATCCTTGAGGCAACAAGGGTGTACAAGGGTCGGCTTCCATGCCTCGGGGCTGAGGGGCAACGTATTTTGTACGATCGCAGCGGCAGCGGAGCTTCATCATCTTCTCAATCTAGACGAGGAGAGGATCCACGCATTGCCCAATTGCAGCGAGAATTGGAGGAGCAGCAGCGTGCATTTGAACAGCAACGAAAGAATGAAGAAGAAACGAGGGCCCGGCTGGAAGCGATGGAACGGATCCTTGCTGGATATCAGCCTCCACCTCAACCTCATCCTCGGCCGTACATTATGCACGTTGAGCAGACTCCTCAGGTTCCGCACATGGGTGGTATGGGTTATCACTCTAACTCCGGTTATGGTGTCATGCCTGCAATAGGGTCTACATTTGGATCTCTGTCGCCTGATATGCTCAATCAGTTTCAGTCATCGGGAGGAGGCAGCCGAGGAAGTCACCGAGGAAGTCACCGAGGAAGTCACCGAGGAAGCAACCTAGGAGGCAATCGAGGGGGCAACCGAGGCAGCCGAGGAAGTTCCCGACCCTTGGACCCCGTGGATGCAGAAGAGGATCATCATCGTCATTATGATGATAATGATGATGAATACGATTACGATGATTCTAATTATTATCACAATGGAGTCCGACGTACGGGCATGTAATTACATTATATTGTTTGACATTGTATTGATTTTGTTTTTATAATTCTGTCTGTAATAACATTTTTATTTTTAATAGCGTATGGAATTTATTTTTATTGTAATTGCTCTAAAATAAAATTAAAATAATTTTTTATTTTTTATAAAAAATTGTTTTTTTTAAAATCAAAAACATTAGTCACGGACTTAATCCGTGACTACTTTTTAATCCGGAATAAATTCAATTTTCGTTTTTTTTATTTTTTTATATAAAATCGTTTTTTTTATAATCAAAAACATTAGTCACGGACCAGATCCGTGACTACATTTTATCCGGAATAAATTCAATTTTTTTAGATTTAATATAGTCACAGATACGTCCGTGACTACCACAAAAATAAAAAAATTTAAATTAAAAGTAGTCACGGATATGGTCCGTGACTAACGTGCCGGAGGCTTATTCCGGTCAAGATGTAGTCACGGACGTCGGTCCGTGACTAATCCGTGACTACACCTAGTCACGGCCACTGGTCCGTGACTACATTCTAGTCACGCAGAACTAGTCACTGAACTAGTCACGGACGTCGTCCGTGACTAAAAGTGTTAGTCACGGACTTTTTACACTACGGTCCGTGACTAAGTCCGTGACTACAGGCGATTTTTTTTGTAGTGTATTAAGGTTTGGATTGAAATAAAAAAAATTAACTCAAAATAATGAACCAAGAAGCGATAGTAATGAACCAAATATAATGTTAGATATAAATTTGCAAACAATAACAAAACACATATGAACCAAAAATATATAAGCATGACACATTTGTAAGCAACAACAACAACGAGAATGAATCAAATTTTATATAAAGGCGATAATAAATTATAATACAAAAAAAAAATTGGTGCTTGTAAGTAATGAACCAAATATATAGTAGTAGTAGATAATAAATTATAGTAGTTAAATAAGTACTATCTACTTAAACCACTATAATTGTTATAGTTGTGAATGTAACCCTTATAGTAAACTCTAGTCCTGGACACTAAAATTAAAGAATTAAAGTTTCAAAAAGATTAGCATCAATCAAATTAATGAGAGAAATCTTATATTTTGGTTTGGTTTAGTTTGGTGTAAGTTGGTTTTGATTTGTTATTTTAAAAAATAAGAAATTATTTCATTTTTAGATTAGTTTGTTTTTATTCGGTTTTATGATTTCGATTCGGTTTGGTTCGATTTAATACGGATTGGGATGAATACTACCAAACTCAAACCAAATTACAAATAGTTTGATTTCGATTTGGTTTAATTTGATTTGGTACGGTTCAATTTGGTCAAATCAAACCGTTATGCCCTCACAAAGTATGGACCCGCAGGATATGGAAGACAAACTATCACTTTCAAATCCGGAATAATTGGAAAATATCGAACTAAAACTTAAGGTACCCTGATTTTTTATATAAACATTATGTTGGTTTTCAATGAATTTTTATTCACGGAAAATATACAAAAGTTGACAAATAAAAAAATGAACAGAGGTAATTACGGGGTACAATATAAAAAATCAATGTTTTATGATATTACATTTCACAGGTAGGTAGGAAGCATACAATATTGATATGAGAGAATTCCCTAAATAGGAGTAAAAAAGTTTTGAAATTCCAAAATAGAAGGATCATGTTTTTTATTGTTTGAATAGGAGTAAATTTCTGCCAAGTTTGACACTACTAGGCTCTAAAACATGGCATTTTTTCCCCAAACTTGGCAGATTACTCCTATTCAGGTAATAAAAAACATGATACTCCTATTTTGGAATTTCAAAACGTTTTTGCTCCTATTTAGAGCAATTTCTATATTGATATTGAAATGTAAAAAGGGATAATTTGACATTGCACCCCATTTTATTGACTAAATTGGAGTTTACACCCTGTTTCTCAAATGATTAATGTATGCACCCTACATTAAAAATTCTGTTAGTTAGAGTTAAGACTGTTTTTAGAAAGACAAAATTGCCCTTTGATACAAGCAAGACCTAATAGATACGGAGTAGAACAGACCATACGAAAGCATCACTCGAACACTTTTAATTCCATTATGTCCATGCTTTGACTTCTATAACCAGACCTCATAACTTGAAATTACAAACTTTAAAAAGCAGTCATACTCCACTCTATCAGCAAGTTCATCTTTCCACTTGAAATTACAGAACTCCATGTTCTTAAGAAGGGAAAAATCCCCTTACTTGCAAAAGGGATTACAGGATATAAAAAATATTTTAAACACTACACCTCTAATATTAATAACTATTCATGCATATATAGCTATAAAATGAGAATAAATGTAGAGAGAAACTTGAGCAAAAAAATGTTACTAGAATAATAGTATAATTACAGCTTGAGCTTGAGCCAAAATTATGCATTTACAAGTGTTTTATAATTATGACCTGCAACTAATTCTATCAAATCTAGTGAGCTTCATCTAATTCTAGCAAAAAAGCAAGATGCATCTTATGATTTTACAGTGAGTTGCATATAGTTCTAATAAGGCCGGTGAGCTACACTTAATTTTAATAAAACTAGTGAGCTGCATGTACATATAGCAAAAAGAATTTCACATAGTTTTAGCAAAAATACTGCATGATGTTGCAACTATGGAGCCGTTCCACGGACCCTTCCACCAGCCCTACTACCAGCTCTTTTCTGTCCAGTTCTTCCACCAATTCTTCCACCACTTCTACCTCCAGCCCCTCTAAGATTAACTTTGCATCCTGAAGCTCTCCCAGTCACTTTAAACTCATCAGCAGCCCTTCCCCCAGCCCCTCTAAGTCCACCACTACTATTTTGACTTCCTCTTATAGGACCTCCTTGACATGACCTCTTGTTGTGGCCAAAAGAATCACACTTACTGCCAGGGATGGATTTAGGGGGGGGGGGGGGGGGGGGGGGGGGGCGACCGCCCCCTTGGACTTTCAATTTTTTTTATTATATATGTAATATTTTCATACTTTAATTAGATATATATGTTTTCACCCCCCTTAACTTTAAGTTTTAAAAATTTATATATAGCATTACATAATGTAATACATAATTGGAGATTTAAAAAAAGTAACATCTAAAATAATTTACTTAACTTGAATGAATAAACAATAGCACAACCCATTGTTTAAGACATACGACATCTATTATATAAGGGGAAAATAATTTAATTATCCCAAACTTTGAAGATGTGTGATGTAAACACCCCAAACTTTCATATGTAATATTTATATCTCAAACTTTATATAAAAAGTAATATTAGTACCATGAAAATATGTTTTTTTTCATTCACAATGTATATTTATGATGCTCTAACTACATCTCTATAAATGTTTAACTATTTTAAAACATGTGCTTAACACCATAAGTTTACATTTTTGAATAAAAACTACATAGTAATGGTGATAACATAACTTTTTATGTAAAGTTCGGGGTATATATATTACACATGTAGGTTTGGGGTACTTAACTCACCCTTTTAAAGTTTGGGGTATTTAAATTATTTTCTCCATTATATAAAAATTTCTAGCTTTGTAATATTTAATTGTCTTTATTAGATAATTAGTACTCAATTTTGTAAAATATCGAACAATATTAAATAGCATACACAGTAGTTAAATAATTTTTAGATCATGTGAAGTGAATCTAAAATATAAATGTTTATTGATATTAAATTGCACAATTCATTTACTTATTACTTTCTAAAAACAATTTGTTGAATATATAGATAATAAACTTGAACTTACTGTAGCATTAATACAAATACAATATGCACCATATATGTGAATTAACAATACTATGTATAATATTATTCTAGAATAATAATATCACACATACTATTGTAATATTAAGAAAACTTCTCGTGACCCACGAACACCATCCTTAGTAGACAAAAATTGCAATTCAAAAACCAATTCTTTATTCTAATAAGATCCATATGGATAAAACAGGCAGAAGTTATTTAAAAATCTTGGTTGATGTGTACCTTTTAAACTCTTTATCTTCAAATAATTTTCATTTGATTTGTCATTTCTTATGCTTTAATGTATCAATACTTTTTTTAGAGCATTTACAATTAAAAAATTAAAATTATTTTTCCATTGTTTAAACATAGAATGTAATATTCTTTCAAAAAAAACTTAGAATGTAATAGATTTAAATATCATCGTGTATGTACCGATGGATTTTTTTGAATGAAAATTAGGCGCAAAGCTCTATGCTAGCAAAAAAAATCACCCCGCTACACAAGCGGAAAAAATTGCCACGATACACTAGCGAATTTTTTTCGCCCCCTATACTAACAGAAAAAATTCGCCCCCTTGACTCGATATCCTGGATCCGTCCCTGCTTACTGCACTTTTTTATATTCTTGGATTGTTTTTCATTCTCATCGTGCCCCTTCATTCGGTTGTGTTTAGGTCTTCCAAGAGCCCTTGAAAGTATAGGTGGGAAAACAACTTCATTCCCTGCCAATAATAAAGTTGATGTCAATTTTATAAGTACAGCTCCTTGTATACATATAATGTTTATACAGTAAATAATAGTACCTTGGGCCAATCACTTTCATGTGAAATTGGTTTGATATTTGATTCATATGTTGATTTGTAAGCCTTAACACTTAGAAATGGACTGCAAAATCTATATGAACGTTTAATAACAATAAGAGTTAGTTGTATTAAAAAACTGTAAAACAAGTTAATAATAATCTCCGAATGATACTTACCGAGCTAATGGAAGTCTGAGGTGGCTGATTAAGTGCACTGCGTGCACACAAGGTATACCTGTCACCTGCCACTCACAACACTCGCATTCATGATTGTTTAAGTTAACAGCATAATGTGTCCAGTAAATTTCCTTACACAAAATAACCCTTCACCCGAAGGAGTAGTCACAAAGTCATTTTGTTTCTCCTTGTACACTGCCAGAATGTTAGCAACCCTAGGTACCACATCATTTTCATTCCAACTACTGCTCTCTAATTTTCTGTCATACATAATCCTCAAAATTAGAAAGGACATGCCCAATACCATAGAACACACTGGTTTTTCTCTTTCACTTAATATAAAACTATTATAACTTTCTGTAAAGTTATTGGTGAGGTGCTCACTCTTACAGATTGTATCAAAGTGGGCCCTTGACCACAACCGTGGACCGATTTCCATCAAGTAGTCCTTGCTATCAACGGCAGCATTTTCCAGATTTTCAAGATTTTTTTTAAAGTGATTTTTTTTGTATGCCGAGGCAGTTGCCCAAGCGAGTTGCTTAATGTGTTCCCCTCTCCACCACTTAGACATGTTCTTGAAGATATGCCTGAAACAACTCCTTGGATAGCAACCATCCAGATGTTAGGCTGCATAGAAAAAGAAGCTTAACAGTTACCATATAAACTAGATACGACCAAAATAACAAGATATCCAACACTGCATTCTGTTAGGCTGCATTTAGTTTCTAGGGAGGACAACCAGGAACCATACTAGTCTGAGCATATGGTGCTTCTTTGTACTATTACTTCATTTTCTTTCCATGAGTTCGTGCATTTTCATCATAGTGAATTACTGCTTGTTAAATCGTTGGCAAGGAAGAAGAAAAATAGATACAATAAGAGGCAATTTAGTTAATATTACTCGCATCTGGTAAAGGGAACATCTTTCTTTTCACCGGCAATTTCTTAGACGTCCTCTTCGTCGTTTCTATTGGGGTTGGTGTAGGTGCTTCTGAATCCAAGGCAAGCTCTTCGCATTCTCCTGAAGCGAAGAAATCGACCACTCGATCACCATCTTGATTAAGATAGTTCATATTTGCATATCTATCTTCCCAACAAAGCTTTGAGTTCATATCTCATCTTCAATGGTTGAAACCCTATTTGAGCTTACGTGAGAATTGAGAAAGAAGGAACAATGGCCAAAATTCGGAAAGAAGGTGAATCATATGGTACAGCAGCATTTTGGTAATTAATCGTAGTTTACAGGTTAATAATTAGGCTACTTCGGTTATTTTCGCAGGCTTAAGTTCGCAGGCTTTTCTTTCTTCGGCTGACTTCTCTTTTTTTGATAATCGAGTTGTCAGGGCTTACGCTCCCATAATCATGGAATCTATGAACTATCCTCCAAAACCCCTGGACAGTTAAGTCCGGATCTCATCACAGTCAGCCTCGTCAGTACTGGCTCCAAAGGACGAATCTAGCAGGACTTACATCACCTTTCAGGTTTCTCCTCTCACCGCACGAACCCGCTACCTTCATTACCATCATCTCCCTTCTCAGCCGTTGAGCAACTCCGTGAAGGTAGGGAGAATCATTGTGAGCAAGACCTCCCTCATTTCCCTTGGTGGAAATTGAACCCAAGACCTCTCACAAAGGAGAAACTTGTGGGTGGATGGTCATCGATTGGACTACACCCACCTTCCCTTCTTCCGCCGACTTCTTTTAATTTTTTCGTTAGTGCACTGCTGGTTGGTTTTCTCTTTTTCTTTTCTTTTGTCTTTTTTCTTTTCTTCTTTCCGTTGCTTTAACCTCTTGTTTTCTTCTTTGTTTTTCTTTATTTCTTTAACAATGTTTTACTTGGTTGTAAAAAATATGTCTTACTTTGATGTTATATATCCAATTATTATGAAAATTTATACGGAGTAATATAAAATATTATTAAATGTTTCAGTTTATTTTTTCTTTCTCCAATCAAACTACCAACTTAAGTTCTTTTTATTTATGCATTATAAAATATTTTAGGTATTAATTCTTTATTTTTCTATTTTTAATTTAAAATGAATATTTATTAGTTTATTAAATATTGTGTGTTAATAACTAACGTGAGTTTTGTGTTATACTAAAATGAGTATAGTATAAAATAAAAATAAATATGCATGGTTAAAACATTATAAAAGAACCCGATTATATTTGTAATTCGAGAATGAAAGATTATAAATTATTTTTTATATAAACTACTTTTGAACACAAATGAACATTTGAACACATTAGAGAATTCAAACGAGCTTTTGAATTTTTCGATACTCATTTTGTAAGTTACATATGTTCATCTGAAATTGGTTTTATGCTCATTTTAAAATGTCATATTAATGTAGATATCATAACTAAACATTATAAAAAGAACCTGATTAAATTTGTAATTCAAGAATGAAAGACTATAAATTATTTTTAATATAAAATTACTATATTTTTTTATTACTATGTTACATTAGAGAATTCGAATGAGCTTTTGTATTTTGCGATGCTCATTTTGTAAAGTACGTTTGTTCATTAAGTACTGGTTTTATGCTCATTTTAAAATGTCATATAAGTGTGAAGTAGATCATGATACTCAATTGTATGCTTTTGATACTCAATAGAGGGGGTTTGATGTTCAGCGAACATGTTTTGATGTTCAACTAATTAACAAAGATTATGCTTTTATATCATTGCTCATTTGGAAACTAATGTATGCTCATTTTGTAATGGTGTTATACTCGTTTTAAAATGTTATATCAATGCATATTTGAAAACTATTACTCCCTCCGTCCCAAAATTATTGTCCTGTTTGGTTTTTCACACAGATTAAGAAAATGGCGTTGTAGCGACACTGTTTGGCACTGTAGCGACACTGTTTGGCACTGTAGCGATACTGTTTTGCAATGTTTGACACTGTTTGGTATAGATTTGTTTACTAAATATGGAAGTTTTAGAAACAGGACAATTATTTCGGGACGAGCCAAAAAGAAAAGTGGGACAATAATTTTGGGACGGAGGGAGTATATTACATTATATTCACGTAGGAGTTGATTATAGAATCAAGAGCATATATAGATCATGATACTTAATTGCATGTTTATAATACTCAAAACAGGATGTTTGATTCTCAATGAAAATGTCTTGTAGCTCGCTCAACTAGAAAAACTTATACTCATTTTATAAGTTAGTATGCTCAATTGCTAGTCATGTTATACTCATTTTTAAAATGTCATATTAATGCATATTTCAAAAGTAACATATTATATTAGATTTGCATATTGATTGAAATTCATATGAAATGTTTATACATATAATTTAATGAGTTTTTATAAAAGAAAAAAGAATAAAAAGAAAGTGAATTACAATATATGAAATTGATATCACAATACTCATTATTCGACTCTTAATGCTTAGTAGAATATGTCTGATGCTCATTAAAAGTGTATTAAAGCTCATCTAACGAAAACCGTGATTTTCACTGAAATTACGAAAATGCCACAGTTTTTTTAGCTGTGATATCAACACTCTTGTAATAACATGGTGCTCATTATTAGACTCTTAATACTCATTAAAATTGGACTATTGCTCATTAACAGTACACTAATGCTCAAATAGCAGATCTCGCGATTTTCACATTATATTACAAAAATGCCACCGGTTGTACAATACTCACCGTACAGCCGACTATACGGTGGACGGACTCAAAGAAGGTCGTTGATCTATAAGGTAAGGGCATTATAGTCCATCTGCAATTTTTAATTGGGGCGGACGGAGGGAGTTACTCCGTTTAACAGAGTATATGATGAAGAGGGTGCAAATATTAAGGTTTTACGAAACGGGATGCAAAGTCAAATTTATCCAATAAAGTGAGGTGCAAACTCCAATTTTCCCAATTAAAAAATCATTTCTTTAGTAAAAATGGGCAAAGTAAAAACGAGGTCAAGATCTGCTGAATGGAATAGTACGTATAGTAGAGTAGACCTATACTGTTCCATTTTAGGGTTCTCCAATTGATGAACCGTACTGGAAACTGGAAAGTGTTGGGCCAATCTTTACTGCAGTAGTTTGTATTGTGATGACAAAAGGGATTCTAATCCACTCCTTCCACCTACCTACAAAATACAGTAGTAGTAACATACCCAACTTGGACAGCTGACTTTCCGGTAAGCTGGGGCCTGGGTGCCATTTACTTTTTGCATTATCTTTTACTTTCCGTTTGCATTATACTCCGTACATTTTTAATAAATCAAACTGTAGTTTGTATCATTTAATTTATTATTTAATTTTTTACTCCCTCCATCCCAAAAAATACTTGCCGGGTTTGAATTGGCACGCCTGTTAAGAAAGTGGAATAAAGCGAAAATGTATGATTGTAGTTGTGTAAGAAAAATGTAAAATGAATGTGAATCACACAAGAGAAAGTGAGAAGTATTTTTTGGAATGATCCAAAAAAAAATGGGAAGTATTTTTTTGTGAGGAATGGAGTATTATTCTTGAAATAATGGAGAAAAAAGGATGACATCTCATGATAGTCCCAACCTCGACAGGGGCGGACCGTAGTACAAATTCAGGAGGGTTATCGCCCCCCAACAAGAATTTTTTTAGTGTATATATATATGAAAAATAATTTTCTTCCTCCGAAAAAATATTTTGAACCCCAAAAAATATTTTCGCCCTCCGAAGACGACTTTCCTGGATCCGCCCCCGAACCTCGATCGGACCGCAGGAATTTTTGAGAAGCAAGTAAAAGACTTTAAAAAAATCTCCCAAATAATGGAGATGTGATTGGTGGTGTCCTGTCTGACACTTCGAAACGAACGCTTTTTTATGAGTGATTGCTCTTTCTTTCTTTCTTTTGTCATGTGGGTATTTAACAGCCATGGGAGCGGACTGCATGGAGAGCCGATAGAAAAATAAAGCCGCGGAAGCCTAACCAACTAAGCACTTCCACTCAACGAGAGGGGAAAACCTCAGATCTCCTCTCCCAAAACCCCTGCACATCTCTTTCGCTTTCCGCGTAGAAGATCAGCGGAAATGGAGGCGCCGTTGCTCAACGGCTTCTCCAGCGGCGACCACCGCCTCCTTCACGGCGCTGACGGCGACTACCTCCCTGCCAGAGAGCTGCGAACATGGTGGAAGATTTTCTGTATAGAAACGGTCAAGCTTTGGCTGATTGGTGGGCCCATTGCGTTCAACATCATTTGCCAGTTCGGGACCGGCTCTGCTACCAACATCTTCGTCGGACATCTCGGAGACATCGAGCTCTCCTCTATTTCCATCGCCCAGTCCGTTATTAGCACTTTCTCTTTCGGATTTATGGTTCGTATACTTCAATTTCCCCAAATTTTGCTTTACTCTTTCTTTTTTCGGAAAAAATATGTTACTTGATTAATTTGATGTGGCGCCATTTAAAGTAAATATTAATAATTGGATTGATTCATAACTGTTTCTTCACGTGCCTATTTGAGGTTGACTTGCGTTAAACTTATTCTTAAGTTCTGAACACACTCCCTTCTTAGTTCTTACTATATCCGCTTTTTAATAAGTGTGACAAGTCAGGGTGGGAAGAAATTTTTGGGACTGAGTTTGTAAATTTACAAAGTTCTAGGATTTCAAAATAAGAAAGTTGATAAAGTTCATTGGGGAGGAACTAGTACTATTCCATGTAAAGAAAAAAAGTGAATTTGTATGTAAAAGAATAAGTGGAAAGGTAAATGGAGTTCAAATTATGAGATGTGTATCATTTGGATGTGGACAAATAAAAGCTGGTGTAGTTCAAAACCTTGCTATTACATTGACTTAGCCGTTTAAGAAGGTGTAATCAATGCTTATATATATAAGTCAAAACATTACCTATTACATACGTAGTAATTCTTTACTTTGAAAATGAGAAGCAAATAATTTAAGACAACACAACAAGAAAAAATGAAAGAAAAATTAGGAGAGGTGGAGTACATAATACATTTGTTAGGTATTCCATCTGTCAACATTATCAAATTTGACCAAGATTCTAGTTTTGTCTTCAACTCTTTAACATTATCAAATTTGGCAAAGATTCTAGTTTTGCCCCTTAACTTTATCAAATTTGAAAAATAATTTTATTTTATTATTATCTAGGATATCTAAACAATTTTGGCCGATTAAATCAGGGACCCTGAGTTAATGACTAAGTAGACCTATAGTTGCCTTTTAGGGGACTCTACTGACGACCTCAGAAACCTTTAAATCCTGGGTTCAAATTAATTAGATACTCATACGGGTTAGTTTTACCAAGGTTCTTTGATGCTGTTGTGATAGATTAAGGAGTTTCAAATCAAAGTTATACATTACCGTTTGAACAATTCCTTAAAATTTAAAATGAGATCTGTGCAGAGTAAATTGATGGAGCCAAATGAGTCATGTTGCATGATCATTCCGGCCTCATCCGTGCACATAGGGGTTATTTTATTGAAATGAAGGGTGATGATCAAGTCAACTGGGCTCCATAGGGAAGCCCTATCTCAGCTCTTTATAATTCAGCACTTGTCCTAACTTCTTAAAAGCTATTTTGAGATTTGAGTTGGACATGGTTCTTTGCATTTACCCACTTACATTAATCTTAGTGCATAAATGGATTGAAATTGTTGTAGCTTGGTATGGGGAGTGCATTGGAGACGCTATGTGGGCAGGCGTTTGGTGCGGGTCAAATTCACATGCTTGGGATATACATGCAACGCTCAATAATTATCCTCTTTGTGACTTGTATTGCTCTTCTGCCTTTCTACTTGTTTGCCACTCCACTGCTCTTATTGCTTGGCCAAGAAAATGAGATTGCTGTCCTTGCTGGGGATTACGCCATTCTAATCATCCCTCAACTCTTCTCACTTTCTGTCACTTTTCCCACCCAAAAGTTTCTTCAGGCCCAAAGCAAGGTCCAAGTGCTTGCCTGGATTGGTTTTGTGTGCCTGGTACTTAATGTGTTTCTGCTTTGGGTCTTTATCACTTTGCTGGGCTGGGGTACAACCGGAGCAGCTTTAGCATTCAATATCTCGAATTGGGGCATTGCGATAGCCCAGTTGGTGTATGTTGTTGTGTGGTGTAAGGAGGATGGGTGGAGTGGATTGTCTTGGGCTGCTTTGAATGATATATGGGCCTTTGTTAGGCTCTCATTTGCTTCGGCTGTTATGCTCTGCCTTGAGATATGGTATATGATGAGCATTATCATACTTACTGGCCATCTTGACAATGCTGTCGTTGCTGTTGGCTCCCTTTCTATATGGTAACTGTTCTTAACAGATTCTGCTTACTAAATACTTGAACAATCTTGAGAAGATTTAGCATAAGCTACATGAAATTTTTGAATCAAGGATTCGGAAAATAAACTAGCTATCAGTCAAGGACTTGAATCATTGTAAATCATCAATCTAAAGTGGCAACTTTTATGTTTTGATTACTTTATTATTATTTAATTCATTAAAATTCATGAAAATTAAAGTATAAGGATATCAATTTCCATGATATTTTGGATCTTTTGGTTGATAGATTTAAATCATTCAGAAGTCGGATTCAAACAATTCTTATGTTATGGAATGCTTAAAAATTGTATTTACATTTCAGCATGAATGTTAATGGCTGGGAAGCCATGCTGTTCATCGGAGTCAATGCTGCAATTAGGTAAATGATATTTTTTCTAGCACCAAGTATATATAGAACCACACTCTTTTTTCTTTTACTTTGCCAAGAATCTATGAATTATAATATTAATTGTATTTCATAAATACTCAGTGTTCGAGTCTCAAACGAGCTTGGGCTGGGACATCCAAGGGCTACCAAATACTCCGTTTATGTCACAGTTTTTCAGTCACTCTTAATTGGGATACTTTTCATGGTGATTGTGCTGGCAACTCGAAACCATTTAGCCATTATATTCACAGATAGCAAAGATTTGAGACAAGCTGTCGCCAGGCTTGCTCCTCTACTAGGAATAACCATGCTTCTCAACAGTGTCCAGCCTGTGATTTCCGGTATTAATTAATCTCCTAATGTGTTATGTGAAGTATATAGATTCTTTTTTTTTTCTTTTTTACAAGCATATGATGAAACTTATCACTGCAATTTTAATGAGCCACATCAGTGTCAGAAAATATGTTGGACTTTGAAACAGTCATAGGTATCAAAGTGAAAACCAAATGAGTTAAGAAAATTAAACACCTTTTTCCATTGCCCAAATTATTTATAGTAGAGGATCAAATAAAAAGTGGATGCAATCGTGTGTTATTTACCAAAGATCTCAGGTTCCATTCCTCTTTGTATAAAGAAAACACTAGCTATCTATATATGAATGACCAAATAGGAAGTTAGACATGCCCTGCAACGGAAAAAATTTATTTAAATTCATGATGGATGTTTATAAATATATAACAAAATCGGAGACTAAACAAATACTCCAACTTGATTTAGAATAGTTACACAAAAAAAGTTCTAAAGATGGAACAAACATTCCCTTGTGCTCAAATAGTTGAGAGGTATTGTATGATGTAGTACGGAGTATGATATAGTGATATATAGCCCAAGGGTATATATGTCTAATGTCTTCCAATATAGTCTTCTAAGGTATATTTGTTCCAACTTTACAATTTTTGGATTTAATAGTTTGAAAACAAAGTTGAGTATATTTGTTCTCTAACGTATAATATTCAGGGGCATATTCGTTCCTTCTCTATCTAAATCACGGAGATGAACTACTATAAGTTTTTATACATCAAAACCATTTGGATTTATGAAATAATACACAGCTTTGAACTTGAAACAATTAACAGGTGTCGCAGTCGGAGGAGGATGGCAAGCTCTGGTTGCTTATATAAACTTGGGATGCTATTACATATTTGGCCTTCCATTCGGATTCATTCTGGGTTATGTGGCTAACTTTGGAGTTATTGTAAGTGAAATTTCAAGACTCTTATGATTGCTCACTTTATGGGAGAATGCTAGACTTTGATTGTTAGAACTGATATAAATGAAATTGGGATTGAATAAACAATTCAGGGACTTTGGGGAGGAATGATAGCAGGAACCGGTTTGCAGACTCTACTCCTCTTGCTTGTTCTTTACAAAACCAATTGGACTAGTGAGGTAAGTACCTAACTGTAATGTAAAAGCATATAAGTATATGAGTATGAAGTGAAATATTCCTGTCCGGCCTGGAGGGTGGCCATCTCCTTTTGAGGTGGTTCGCAGTCAAAAATTTGATCAGGAAGGCTGAATTGATAAAATTCCTTAAAAAATATTGCTTGATAAAAGAATCTTGCTTCTCGTTTATGTGCCTCAAAATTTAAAGGAATAGTTTTGCTTTTATCCTAATCTTAATATCCTTATATAAAATAAAATATCGATGGGAAAAATTGATATGTAGGTTGAGCAGACGACAGAACGCATGAAGAAGTGGGGTGGACAAGACTTTGACATTAGTAGCTTACCTGATAATGTCTCATCCAGCAAATCCCAGCCTTAAGTTTCAGTAATGGCGCGTGATGGCATGTTTATCTAGCTACCTGCGATATGAAAGGTGTAGCAAGTGTTGTTCCTACGTCAGAACTCAGACGTGGGAGGCAATTCTTGTATTTCAATAATGCATGCACAAGAACTCATGGGATATGTATTAGAATGAAATTGTAATTCATTAGCGAGATGAGAATTTTGTAGTTGGAATGCTCGTTCTAGTTTGAAGTTGAATTTATTTAAAGATTGGAATTCCTTATGGCAGGATTTTGACCTAAACGCTATGCGACCCAATACTCCAATAGTATTTGTTGAGGGTAAGTCCCGTAGATCCGAAAGCCCAACACGAACTTTGGATATATCAGGAATGGCCCAGAATCAAGGTGTACGAGAAAATATAAGATCTGAACTAATTAAAACTCGAAAGCTCACTTGTATTAATTAACCAATCTGATTACAAGGGATTTCCCGATCGATAAGTCGGAAACTATGCCTTAATACAAGAAATAAGAGCAAATGATGCTATTCTAGAGCTTGAGTATTGAAATGCTAACCCTTACTAGGTATGGACTCGGGCCGGGTGGCCCGACCCGGAATCGGCCCGGGACCGGTACTGTTCCGGCCCGACCCGGTGGGCGGTGGCCCGGTCAGTGACCGGTCCGGGTAGGCCCGGCCCGTGGGTTTTCCGGTCCGGGCTCGGGTCACCCAAAACAAGGCCCGACCCGGCCGGGCCCTGTTCGGGCAAAAAACAATTTTTTTTTTTTTGCAATTTTTTTTAAAGTTTTGGGTTGGGCTGGGTATTTTGGGCCATTTGGGGTGGTTTGGGGGTTGGGGGTGGGAGGGGGGTTACTTAGGAAGAGGAAAACAAAAAAAAATTATAATGGGCCTGGCCCGGCCCGGCCCGGACCCGGACCGGACCCGGTGGTTACCCGGGCCGGTCCCGGGTCCACCATTTCTGACCCGCCGGCCCGCCCGGGCCTAGGCCCGACCCGGACTCGGCCCGGACCCGAGTCCAACCCTAACCCTTACAATGACTTGAAACCTTCTATTTATACTAATGGAGAGCATGGGCTGCCTCTTGCTGATTGGCCGTTGTTCCACCGACTTGGTCATCCATGCTTCCACTTGCTGATGTCACAGTCTGGCATTAACTGCACCTGGCCACTTGCTGGTTGGCCGTTGCTCGAACGGGATGTTGGTCCATACTGAAGAAGCTGTCAACTTGGCCCAAGTATAGTAAATAGTCCGAACCTCGTTCGGTATGTCTTCTTATTGGGCCAACCTTTATTTGGGCCGAACCCCGTTCGGTATGTCTCCTTACCGGATCTTCTCATCATAGAGTGATGGGCCGGATATCTTGGGCCTTCCCGATCTGGGTATTGGGCCTCTAGGTCAATATCCCAACACAAGTCCCCCACTTCCGATGTCTCGAACGAAGTGAGTGCATCAGGAAGTATACCAATGTCACAATACCCCGAATGGCGATCGGGGTACAGAAGTAGCCAGTTCCCCATGCTGCGATTTGACGGCTGCCGCTTCATTTCCCCATATTCATCATGATAACCGTCGTTTAGTCTTTTCATTAGACGCGTGTCTAGCTTAAATGCCCCTAGTGATGTGTCGCTCTCTGATTGGCTCTCGACACGGCGGTTTCAAGGCTATAAATTAACCCTTAATTCCTCAATTCCGGGTTTTCGACTCTGCAATTCCTTGGCCTTCGTTGTTTTCTCTGCAAATTTCCCTCTGCTTTCCTTGCTCAGGTAACTTCCCAACCTTGGATTCCCCACCTTCATTTCTGGCTTCGATCGAGATGAGCCTCACAGAGCATTCTTCTGATTCGGAGATGGCCTCTCACGGGGATGACCGTGACACCACCATGATAGACGCCATCCCAGTTCCGTTTGCCGGTGTTTCTACCGAGATGGTGACGAATACCAGGGCTGAGGCGGAGGACCTCCCTAGCACTTCTTCTTCCTCTAGTGAGGATTCTGACGACACCAAGTCTGAGGACGAATTGGCCTCCATGGCGGCCGGACGTCCCAACGATGTTCCTCGCCATACTCTTGACCTAAAATTGATTAGGGAGAGGAGGCAAAAATTGACCTCTCACAATAGGGCCGAAATCCCGGCCCTTATCCCTGACCCGGTGGATTTCCGTTTGCAAGCCGGGCTTCATCCGATGCGTCATAGGCCCGGAATGACCATAGTCCACTTTGACTCAATTAGGGCCGGTCTTAGATTTCCGCTACACCCTTTCTTTATTTCTTTCTTCAATTTCTACGAAATAGTACCGGCCCAGATTATGCCGAACTCTTATCGAGCAATGGCGGGTTTCATTTGTCGTTGCAAAGATGCCGGCGCCCGACCAACCTTAGAACTCTTCCACCAGTTCTTCAAAGTAGCCCCCCAACAAACCCATGGCTATGTGGCCACTAGTGCCCGAACGGGACACATCCTGTTCAAAGGAAACCCAACTTCGATCAAAGGGTGGAAAGACCGGTTTTTCTTCGTGTCCATCCCGGACGGTCTGATTCCCCGCAAGTGGAATGCTTTTCCCCGCAAGACCCCTGATCCTGTCCTGACTGAAGAAATCTACAAGGACGTGCTCGCTGTGGAGAAGGATAAATGCATGGACATCATGAATTATCTAACCCCCGAACGACTTATAACAGCCGGGATAGGTACTGCCCGTTCTCTTGGGTTTACTTGTTTTGATAAACCAAGTGCCTTGGTCCGGGCGGTCCTTCCCGTGCGAGAAACGTTCCTTTATTCTTTTTTTTAGTTTCTCACACGCTAGGGCCGCTCGATACTAACATTGTTCTTTGCCTTTTTTCAGCACCCAACCCAGATCTTCTCATGGATGATAGCAGAGTCATCGCAGCCGGTGGAGGCGGAAAGCGGAAAAAATCCCGGAAGAACCCCCAACCTACTCCCACCATCGTTCCCGCTCAGGAGGCTGCCCCTTCTCAGCCGCCCCCAGAACCTCAGCCAATTCAGCAGGTCCACCAAGATCAAATAGAGGCCATGCTGCTTGATGATCGGTTTGGTTCTGACCAACTGCACCAATTTTCCCAGCATTTCGACTCCGTTCGGGGGGAATCCTCGAATGCTGGTGAGACACATACCGACCACATTACGGGTCAGGTCGAGCGGATCTCCCTATCCGACCCTGTTCACGAGGTTTTAGAGAGGACTGGATCTACTGCGAGCCAGATCTGGTCTACCTCCTCCTGGTTTAACAACTTTTCCCTCCCTCAGTTGCCGGTCGAGCAATCTGAGGAATGTTTGGCTCTGACTGCTCTGAAGGTACGTTGTCTCTTGTGTTTTGTCTTTACTTTATTCCCCGTAACCAGTACTAATCCTCGAACGGCATTCTGTAGATGGGTTTGTACACCCTTCAGATGCGGGAGGCCCGCCTGGCCAAGGAGCGGGAACTGATCGTTGCCCAGTCTTCTGCTGAGCAACATGCTGCTGCCATCGCCTCTCTGGAGGCCGAACGGAAAGCCTTTGCGGAGGAAAAGCAGAGGCTGGACGCTAAACTTGGTACCCTCCGGGTCCAACTTGCAGCTTCCCAGGCGAAGGTCCTTGCCGCTGAGGCTGCCCAGGTCAAATTTGAAGAGATGCCATCCAGCATCCCGGACGGTCCTTATGAAGTGAGCGTGGATCTGTCCGCCGTCCGGGATACGTTTAAATCCTCTGATGAATTCTCCATCATCAAGGATGAACACGCAAGGGCCCAGCACCCGTTCGCCTTTGGGGCGTATTTAAAGGGTTTTCCCAAAGGCGCCGGCCGGCTATCGGCAGGGGTGGCCCTCTTGGATAAGGACCCGGAGGCCAAAAAATGGAATGATTCCATTGTCTCCGATCTTTATGGCAAAATTGGCCAGGTCTTGCTGCGTCCCTTCGTCACTCAGCTTCAAACTCAATTGGGGAGGCCGGTTCAGGCTTCTGATCTCCCCTCAGATGATATTATCCAGGCGCAGTTTGAGAAATTTCTGCGAGCCCAACAACGGGAAGCTGATCGAGCTGCGGGAAAAGAGCCTGAACCCCCGTCTGATGATGATGAGGATGAAGATGAAGAGGGAGATGAAATGGCCCACGATCAATAATTCATATGTATTGTAATTCTTGTTTTAATTTCCTTTTTTCCTAGCCTGTATTTCCCGGTCAGTAGTACCGATGAATATATATCCCTTTTTGCCTGAAACTTGGCGTACTGTCTTTTCTGTTTTTAATGCATGATTTACTCGCCATTTGGGATTCGGCCTATTTTTGAAGGACTTAACCAATTTCCCAACTTATTTCTTGCTCAAATAATCCTAACGCCGTTGATCGCCGTTCGGGCATTAGAAAGTTCTGATGATTTAAGGAAAAAAACCCCTTCCCCCTGGTACTCAGCCGTTCGGGCTTCATACCAAATTTTAGGACTTGGCACATTCTTGCTTCAGATAATCTCTTACAACTTGATAGCCGGTCGGGCTTCAGTTCAATCCTAGGCTATCTTTTTATGACGTTGATAACCGGTCGGGCTTCAGGTCAACTTTAAGGACTTAGCAGTTTTCTTCCAGATAACCTTTTACAATACTGTTGGCCGGTCGGGCTTCAGGCTGACATTTAGGACTTAGCATTTTCTTCCTGATAACCTTTTACAATACTGTTGGCCGGTCGGGCTTCAGGCTGACATTTAGGACTTAGCATTTTCTTCCTGACTTTTAGCATTTTTCTAAACAGCAAGCCCCTGTGATCTTTGCTAATCCTCTGTAAGCCCGTCCGGGGTACGTGTATAAAAAATGAATCATAAATGCCCCAAATTAATCGTAACCACCCAATGCCACGTGTTGCTCATGGATTAGGGATTTGTGCGGTACTTTCCCTATTTATAGGGAGGTGTTTCCCCTAATTTCTCCTGCTGTTTTCTCATTTTTCTTTCGAGTTTTCTCTCTCTAGAATTCCTTTGCATACTCTCAAGCCTTCTCTCTCTAGAGTTCCCAAATTTCCTCCAGCGTTTTTATGTACTACTCTTCTAGCTCAGAATCTGAAGAGATGCCTTTGATTCGTAAGAGCAAAACATCCGCTGGTAACCAGGCCGAAGGCTCTTCGTCCCAAACACCCAAACCTGCCAATACTCAGGTCAGCAAACCTATCGAACAGCCGCAGGAGGATGGATGCCTGTCGGGAGATGACCTTCAGGTTTATAACAAGGGGATGCCCGAACGGCCACCCCGCATTGCCCTACACTTCAATCGCATACGCAAACACAAACAACGTCTCCCAGAAGATGTTGAACGGCAACTTAGCCAGTTGTTGCCCCCACCAAGAGAATACTATGCCGGATTCATTCGGCATCCTATGAGGCACAGACCGGGGCACGTGCTAGTGCACCTCGATGCCCTGACTGCTGGACTTCGGTTCCCTCTCCACTCATTCATAGTGGAGTTCTTACGCCGGGTTGCTGTACTGCCCGCTCAGTTCGTGCCCAGCACCTACCGGATTCTGACAGGCTTCATTATCCGGTGCCACGAGTTGAGGATCACCCCGAGCGTCGATCTATTTCTTTATCATTACTGCTATCAGCCGTACTGGACGACCGGGTACTTGAAGCTGGTAGCCCGTTCTGACCGTCAGCTGTTCACAGAGAACGTTACCCCGCAGGCTGACTGGGAAGAGCGGTTTTTGTTCGTTCGGGTAGGTGATTCTTTGCCATTCCCGGACCGGTGGAACGCATATCCCGTCCGGGATTCCCTGCCCAGGGTGGATGCCGTTCTACGCTCCCAGGCTGAGTCTCTGCGAATGGGAGGGACCAGAAGTCTTCGCAGCTTTGTCACTGCCTCGAGCATGTTATCTGCTGGAATTGGTAAGCATAGTAGGGTTTTAACCCGATCATCCTTCGCTCTCGCCATTCAACTTTCTTATTTTTTATTTCTCTTTCTTGTAGGTGTGATCTCTCCCATACCCGTCCGGCGTTCCATCTCCTCTGCTAAAGGGAAAGAGAAGATGATAGCCGATCGTGATTCGGCGGGGCAAACCCGAAAAAAGCGCAAAGGAAATGATGATGATCATCTGATCCCGATCGACCATGTGGTTGACTTGACCGGGCCGGAGGTTGAGCCCAAAAGATCAGTACCTGCCAACAGACCAACTCCGGTTCTTACTGCCACACCGATCGATGATCGGATGTTTGTTGAGTTCTCAAATATGGGGCCCAGATCGGAAGGGAGGTATCTGTTCGGGTTGATGCCATCTTCTATGTGGTGTCATACCGCGATCAAAGTTCCCCCGAGCTTCACTAACTTGACTCACTGGTCGGACCTTTTTGAAGCAGGTCACCAGGAAGCACTTAAGGTACATTTCAGTCCGTCCCATACCTTTCTGTTATTTATGTTCTACCTTTTCTGACCTTCATTGTAACCTTGTTTTCAGGCTGGCGTGTATTATCACAAAGCCTTTCTTGCCGCGGAGAAGGAGATGAAAGCCCTGGCCAGTGATCGGGATGACAGCCAGGTCCTCCTCTCCGCCGCTCGGAAGTTAGCGACCGACCTCCAAGAGCAGGCCAAAGAGGGTGAGAAGGCAAAAGCTGCTCTGGCCGAGATGCAGGAGACGTCCCGTCGTCGCGACCGGGAGCTCAAAGAACTCCGGGCCAAGGTGCGGGCTGCTGAATCTTCTGGCATTAAATTTGATAAGGCTGTCGGAGATCATCTGCCCGAACCCTACACGGTCAATACCTCTCAGATTGCTCAGCAATCGGTAGTGGATTTCCAACGGGGCAAGGCGCTGAACCTCGCTCTGGAGAATACGGCCCGGCAATTCCTAGGTCCTCACCTTGGCCAATTTTTGCGTGAGAGCTCAGATCCCATCAAGGCAGGGATCGACCTCCTGGACAGCACGCCGGAAGGGAAATCTTTCTTGGATGTCCTGACCGAGAAAACCGTCAAGCAAAGTCAGGACCTGCTTCTGGATAGGAATCTTGAACTGATCTTAGAGCGTTTCCCCAAGCCGTTCGATCCTGATGAACTAGGCTTTGATGATCTGTTCGGGAATACGTATGATCGCGTCATGGAGAAAAGATCCAAAGCAGCACCTGACGATGCAGTGCAGGCAGGGAGCTCTCAGTCTACATCCTCCCCGAATGGCGATCATTCATTAGTATAGCCTTTCCTTATCTGTTGTCTCTTTTCTTGTATATTTGTTTTTGTATATTCTGGCTAGTAACGCCGAAGAATAAACTGGGCTTTTTTCCTTTGTCTGTTGCACTTTTTCTATTCCCTTGATTTTGTCCATAATCTTTTCTACATGGCCGAACCTCACTCGGCTTATGTATCTTTATATCTGACACCTTTTCCGAACCCGTTTTGATCCCTTTTCCTGTTCGTGATGCACGGGTTCAAAACTCTTAGCTGAGGTGAATTCCTCCAAGCCGTTTTGATCGTGACCACAGGGTCAAACTCTCGGCTGGGATAGGGGCTCCCTCCAAACTGTTAACACGTTCGACATTCGGTCATCCGGAATGACTTCACGTGTTAACAAGCTGAGGTGAGACTCTCTTCATAATTGTTCTGACACCTTTCCGAACCCGTTTTGATCCCTTTTCCTGTTCGTGACGCACGGGTTCAAAATTCTTAGCTGAGGTGAATTCCCCCAAGCCGTTTTGATCGTGACCACAGGGTCAAACTCTCGGCTGGGATATGGGCTCCCTCCAAACTGTTAACACGTTCGACATTCGGTCATCCGGAATGACTTCACGCGTTAATAAGCTGAGGTGAGACTCTCTTCATAATTGTTCTGACACCTTTCCGAACCCGTTTTGATCCCTTTTCCTGTTCGTGACGCACGGGTTCAAAATTCTTAGCTGAGGTGAATTCCTCCAAGCCGTTTTGATCGTGACCACAGGGTCAAACTCTCGGCTGGGATAGGGGCTCCCTCCAAACTGTTAACACGTTCGACATTCGGTCATCCGGAATGACTTCACGCGTTAATAAGCTGAGGTGAGGCTCTCTCCTTCCAAACCCATAATTCCGATGCATTCCGAACTGTTTTCTCTGGCTCGTATCATCCATATTAGGGGTCTGAGGTAACCCTTTTTGGACTGTAAGCAAGGTCGCTGAAGTTGGGTCATTTCTTACTTATAGCTAAAAGGGCGACTAGCTTCCAAGTCAAATTTTATGACTGAGGCGAGATTTTTCAAAACCATAGTTCCGATTCCCCGGACGACAATCCGTACCTTATCCGAACGTCGCTCGGTTAATCCATATCTTACAGTCTTATCACCATCTCCAAGCCGTTTTGATCCCTTTGCCCGTACGTAATTACAGGGTCGACTTTGGCTAAGTTGACGACTCAGCTCCCTCCAAGCTGTTAACCCGTTCGTCATTCGGTCATCCAGAATGATTCTACGTGTTAACAAGCTGAGGTGAGAATCACTGTCCTTCGAACTCCAGGCCATTTTGATCCCTTCATCAATGCGTAATTACAGGGTCAAAACTCTTGCTGAAATGTATGGCTCCCTCCAAACTGCTAATATGTTCATCATTCGGTTTTCCAGAATCGATTCTCATATTAACCGCTGAGGTGAGACTATCTGAGCGTCAAACTCCCAGTCGTTTGGCTGAGAATGACTTTCCTTCCATGGAATCAACCCGTTCGTCATTCGGTCATCCGGAATGATCGAGTTAACCATGGGCACCGATTTTCTGAGCCTCAATTCTTCAAGCCATTTTTGATCCCTTTATTCTTACATAAATCTAGGGTCAAAAACTCTCTAAACTGAGAATTGATTTTCCTTCCATGGAATTAACCCGTTCGTCATTCGGTCATCCGGAATGATCGAGTTAACCATGGGCACCGATTTTCTGAGCCTCAATTCTTCAAGCCGTTTTTGATCCCTTTATTCTTTCGTAATTCTAGGGTCAAAAACTCTCTAAACTGAGAATTGATTTTCCTTCCATGTTGTTAACCCGTTTGTCATTCGGTTATCCGGAATGATCGAGTTAACCATGGGCTGAGTTTGTGGAAATTATGTCTCCCTCTCTATATTTTTTTAGAGGTGGCAACAGCCGTTTTTACTGATAAAATCTCCTCAGATGCTTTACATTCCAGGTTCCTGCCGGTCGGCCTTCGGTATTTTGTAGGCCAAACGTTCCTGAAGCATACTTCTTACACACTTGGTAGGGGCGTTCCCAATTTTGTGCCATTTTGCCCCCTTCGAGCGGTTTGCTTTTCTCTCTCTTTCTTAGTACCAGGTCCCCTACCTCGATTG